TGAGCTTCCCCTAGAATTGTCATAAATGCTTTCTTTGGCAATAACTGTTTTGTTTAATCTATAGCTTTCCAGAGCCGTCTTTGTCTGCATTCCCTCTAGCCACCGATCTCTTTCTGTGGCTTTAACTTTCTTCTTAACTGAGACTTGCTCTTCCGTATCTTCGCTATAGCCCCAAAACTTTCCTCTTAATTTCCTAGTGCGCTGTCTCCAATTTGTGTCTACACTCCTCATGTATAAATAGCTGAAAACCTTTCGTGCCCATTGCTCCGCATCCATTTGCCTCAACCTATCCTCAAATTCTATCTTGCTCACCGCTTCTTTGCTCTCAAATGACGCCCATCCCCTGTCTCCTTGTACTCCCTGGTTTGGCATTTTGCAATGTGCCCCCAAAGCCAGTCTACCTACTCCGCGCTGTTTTACATCTAGTCTCGCATGCACTTCGGATTTCATGCATAGCACTGCGTTTCCAAAAGTCAAGCCAGGCACCATGACCCCTTTCCAAATCTCTCTCACCACCTCATACCTGTTGTAATTCCAAAGTGCTCTATTTTTCATCACAGCTGCATTTCTGCACTCTGGACAGCTACCGCCATCTATGAGCGACGGCGGCAACCAGATTTTTGTGTCGACATTTCTTTGCGGGGGACATGATTCGGGGGAAACTAGCCCTTAACAGCTCCGCTGTAAAAATGAAGAATGGATAAGTCTTCAGTTATATTAAAATCTGTAACTGTTAAAAGAACGGCTGAACTCAATCTTTGGTCCTCAAAACTCGACGAGCACCATTTTATGATCAGCATCTGAAGGTGAGTATCTCATAATGTATGTTCAACAAGATATCTTTCTTTAACTTCGAGAAAATTTGTCGTCAAACTTGTTAACAGGAAAAGAGATATTTTGGTACCACAATTCGGAGCTGAAAAGAAAAGATTTTCGCTCGTTAAAAAAAGAAGAGGTTGCGTTATTACTGGGGACATTTTATGTGTTATATTTTGGAGATGATGCCTCTCTGCGAGCACTTTTCTAAGAAACTGTGGTAATTCGGTAATGAATCATAGACATTGAATAAAAACTGTTTTTTTTTTCAACGCTTCTTACAAACCGTTCGTTTTGTTTTTCAGCGTGGCCCCGGTGTTAGCTTAAAAATTAAAACACTAAGCTTCTCTCTAGCCATTGTTCTCAGGACAAGGAGCAATCAACGCAGCGTGACTTCAGGTTTCCGTCTATGGAGTCACTGTCCTTGACTATAATATTCGTAACCTTAGCAAAAGGAGGAAAACAGGAGATCGATGACCCAAGGAAGCCACTCATACTCATATGCGTTTTCTGCTGCAAAAATGATTGTTTCGAAAGAGCACGAACGAAGCCTGTTTTTACAAATGTAGCTGGAAAAGGTTTTCATCGGGTAGGTCTGTCAACTGGATGAAGCGCAGCAGGTGTTAAGATCACGAGAACCGAGTTCCCTCTGTTGCAAGATTCCTTACAATTGAGATGAGAATTTCACGATATTGCCGCCCGCGCAGCTGGCCATGTAGGCAGCGCGCGCGTGGCCTAGCGGTTATCAGGCCTGCCTCCCACGCGAAAAGCCAGGGTTCGATAACCTCTAGGCCACGCGCCATACAACCATACGACCTTGCAAGAAAAGAGTCATACCTCATGCTCAAATTAAAATGCATACGTTCCGTTACACATATCGTTACTTTACTAAATAAATGCAAAGAAAGCTGGAAAAGATGTACAAAATGTGGACCTGAAAAAATGCAATTTCAGAAATGCATGTTGTTGCTTATAACATAAAAATATGCTTAATTCGTTTTCGGAACGCTGAGTTCAATGTGTAATTATTTACAAATGTGGGAAAGCTTTGCTATCAGCTTATCTCCATTGCGTTTTCCTCTGATCAGACACCGGGGGCATCCAAAGCACCCAGAGGAGTGCAGTGCGTGGTTCAGCATACCTGCACGTGCATGGGCATAGCTAGTCCGCGTCTTTGTCATCTCCTGGGCGCTTTAGGTGCACTGCGAGCTGCCTTTGTGTTGTAAAAGAAAGAGAGAGTGATAGGTACGGAGAACATGAGACACGCTTGGCTAGCTTGGGCAGATGTTTGAAGGGACGGCTGTGTGCGCGTTTTTTGGAGACTACTTGAACGGCGTTGCAAGCGGAGCGGGACTTGAAGACAGCGAGTGAGAGTACGTTCAGCGGGGAAGAAGTCGGACGCCCATACTGAGGCGTCGCTTCGTGTCTTCCAACGTGTGCTTGCTTGTGGATCACAGTGGTGCGGAGGAGTATCGCCAATGCCATCCGAGCCACACAGATTGCCTCGCCTCTGGCAAATACGCAAGAGGCCGCTTTGCCCTCATCACTGGCGGGACCCAGGTTTGCTTCTCTCATAGGTGTAGTATCGTTTACTGTTATTGCCGGTTTTTGGCGTGTGTCTAGTATTTTTCGTGCTGTGAGATAAGCAATCTAATTTTAATAACATTGTTTTGCACCGAGAACTACAGTGTGTGCATCGGTTAGAACTGTGTCAGCGTCGAGGATGTGTAGATTCTGAGCTTATGTGAGCACGCCGCGAGTACGAATATAATAAACTGGATGCTGAGTTGACTTTTGGAGAGAGTTTTGCTTGTTTATTTTGTGTCAATTTAAATTGGTCAAACTGGTGGGGCAGTCCACCAGCTTAACAAGCATTACCAGTTCAACCAGCATGCCAAACTGGGCATGCTAAGGCAATAACCCAGCATGAAGCTCGGACCCGATCAACCAGCATGACCGGCATGTCAAACTGGTCATGCTGGGGCAATAACCGGGCTTGAAGCTGGTACCAGTTTAGGCTGTTTGTTTTTTAATAGGGACAACTTGCGTTTAACATTCGGGTGACCACGGGTCCACCTGAGTAGTGGAGAAGCATGTAATTGCCCGTTTATGTCTCCGTGGAGGATTTTTCCGTAAATATAGGTGCCGATGCAGGAGCTCATACCAAGCGAGCCCGCCGCTTTTGTCCCCTTAACGGCTCTCGTTAATGTGAAAAAAGCACAAATATCTCTCTCTCTATATATATATATACATACTTTCTACTCAATTTCATTACTGCAGTGTTGTGTAAAAGAAGAAGATACGTCATATCACATCACGAGAGATGACTGATTGACTAACAGTTGACATCGTTATAAAATCAATAAAAGGCGAGCGATCTGGCCAATCGCTCAAGGACCCGATGAGATCACGACCAAAACAAACGGGTCTTTTGGATTTGACCTGCGATAGCCAATGTCTTCGACAGCATGGCGGCTCCTAAATGACCGGCCTTTTCCTGAAACCCACACGGCAGCTCGTTGGGTCGGAGCTTACACGTCTAGCGATGTTACGGCGAACCAACCTTTATGTCGAGGCACCTTATCGGCTACACCACGTAGACTAGTCGGCCTGCGTGCGGTCTTATGTTACTGCAACGACGCAAATTGTTTTGGTGTTCAATTTAATGAACCGAGCACTGATAGATTTTGCTTTGCCGGAAAGCCTGATGCCAAAAAGATTCCAGAAACATTTCCTCGCTCTTGTTTATTGCCCACAATGTTTTTTGTCTAACTCAGGCTGGCAGCAACATTCGTGTCAGTGCACCGCCAAGTTGACTAACGGTATTCGCTTTGCTGAAAATTCAAGCTCTCTTCAACTGGAAAAAAAGTCAGTCCGATTGGCAGTATACTGCCGACAATATTGTTGCCAGCCTCAGATAAAAGAATAAAAGATCCTGTACAAGCAAAATAACTAAACCGCAAGATAGATTTTGTATGATTTTTGTATCAGGCTTGCCGGCGAAGCAAGATGCAATAATGCAACGTAATTGCACCAAACACACAAAAAAAAAATTTAGTGGATTTTGTCATCAAGACGAGAAGAATGTATATATGTTTCAGCTTTTCTCCCGTTAATGGTCAGTTGATAATAGCGCTTTGTTTGTCCTTCCTTTTTTGTTCCGTTCCCTGAAGACTTTATTTTCGCAAAATGCACCAACTCTACTTTTTTCACCCCAAGCAGTTACTGCTGGAAAGCTACATCTTGGTTGGACCAGTCATTTGTCTCTCCTTAGCCGAGTGATTCCACTCCCGGCGAAGCCCAGGAGCAGAAAGCTGGGTCAGGGGGTGAGAGGGAAGCGGCCATTGGTCAAGCCGGTATACCTAGTTCCCACCAGGGTCTCAGCTTATGGGTGAATCCAGTATAGCCAACGTTTCTACCGTATTCCTTATATCGGAATTATGACAGTGACGAATTCCCCCGTACTGCTCCTCCAGGCACGGGAAATGTCAAGGCAAATTTCTATTGGACAGACCGGGCCTGGCGACTTACTATCATCGAGTGCGGAAATGAGGAGTTGTTCAGCGCGTCAATGTATTGAGATATGTACAGTTCTAACACCCCGCCTCCCGCAAAGCGTGTATAAAACTGGCTATTATCCTTTTTCTTATCTCCCGGCCGGAGGACACTCGTATAAGCCCGCTCCCCCATCCACCGATCCCTATCTCTCCCCCCCCCTTCCCTCCCCCCCCTTTCAGCACATCTGGTTCGCTGGGACAAACAATGGAACAGAGCTTTCTTCATCCTTAACATAATCGCGTGTTCTTTGCCAACACCTTATAAAAGACGACAGTTCTCCACACCAATTCGGAACATTTCATACCGAATATTGGAATAATTGTTCAATGTGTATATTATATTAGGTAAATATAAATCAAGATAAAATAATTATGTTTGTCAAATATTTTACGAATTATAAAATTGAATTTAAAAATGAAGATTATTTTGTTTTCTTCCTAGGATAAGAAGGCTCATAATTCATTCATGCATGCGTTATAAAATCACTAATTTTATTTTCTTGTTTCTTGGCAGACACAAATGCATAACAGCATTTTAATTAAGGGGCCGTAGATTCATGGTTGCGCTGTAGCTTTTTTGGGGAACAGTGCCAGTTCGGCCAGAGGCGAAACCGGTCAATTTCAGCCCTAAGCTACTGGCTTGCCGATGACAGTGTCGCCTAGATCCATGCAGCGACCTTCATTGCTGTCCCCAACATGTATACAGATGCAGTTACCGGTGCACCCGCTCCACTCTCCGTTGTTGTCTGTACACTAAAATGAGGAAAGAAAATCAGAGGTGGGATGAGTGTGAGGCATGGATTTCCTGACGTGTTAAATTGTATTTAAATTAATCTGAAAACTTCATTAGTGAATAGCGGTTTTGCTCTTTAGTACTTAAAATCTAGGGGTTTATATGCTATGTTGAAATCATTTACACAAAAAGACACACGAAAGTACAATGTTGATTTTGTTACCCAGAAATAAACGTTAAACCGCTATATTTTGAAGAACCTAGTTTAGATGTCTGTTTCGCAGGAACCTAATGTATGATTAATTTCTCACAAGAAAATAAAGTTTAGAAAGGTCGCATTTATGGTCATTTAAGGTAGTAGGACATGTGTTTGAACATTGAAGAATCAGTTTCAAGTATAACGTGTCATGTTTAAATTAATTTACACAGGTTACATAGTATTTTATTATGAGCGATGCAGTTTATTTATGTATGTATTATTTACCATTCCATATTGCTAGAATAGCTTATTCCGCTTGTGGAATGAAGACGGTGTTCAGGTATTGCTTTTTTTTAGGAATACCTTATGCCAAATAAAAAAGTACGTACAAACAAGTAAACAACAAAATTGAAAGAGCCTCTCTAGTTTAAAAGATCCAATAACATAGAAAGAACGAAAGCATTTTTACAACTGCCAATATATATCGACATTTCTAGTACAAAAAAATTATTCGGATTGAACAATATGCTTCAATGCATAGAAAAATGTTTCAATATAATTCTTATTCACCCTTAAGGCCGTCGTTGTCATCTCATACGGAGAACATAATACAATATTTTGAAGAAAAAAACTAACGAACACAAGCTAATAAAATAATATATGCAGTGCGTGCATAAAACAAAATATGTCTATGCATTCCGCCACTTTCGGCTTTAATTGAATATATATATATATATATATATATATATATATATATATATATATATAGAGAGAGAGAGAGAGAGATAGAGAGAGAAAGAGCTATGGAAACCGAAAACAACTGTGTAACCGATTCTGGCTTGCAGTCTTGAAGAAGGCCTGTCTCAGGCCGAAACGTCGACTCACAAAATGTTGTAAAACTCCTACAACGTTTCGAAGTGCGACTTCATTATTTGATATATATATATATATAGGAGGGTATCATAAGAATATGGGCTTGAAAAAAACATAGTGAAAATATATTTGTGTGAAAAATTTCTTGGTTTAATAAACGCATATGATCAAATAATTTCATATAGGATCATATTATAATCATATAATGTGTATATAAGAAGTTATATGGTACTGAGAAGTTTCATATAAATTTATATATAATAATATATTTTTCTTATATTGTGTTATTACTATCTCAAATACTCCTATATGATCTTACCTGAGCACATAAGTTTCTGGGACCAACAGATGTCTTATACATATAAGATTTTTCCACTAGGGTGAAGACGAATATGGCAATTCGATTTTACCTACTCAAGCAACATCGGATCTTGTTGGGAATCATAAGGTTGATGGTGAGTAATGGAGGCGATTTTACTGAAAACGTCTATCTACACCTTGCTCTGGCTAACATGATACATTTTTAATATGACAAATTATGAACTATTGAACATAGCCTAAAACTGAAATCGAAAGGCTCAACTTGGCACATGAATTAAACCGATGTAATTCAGATCTCGATGACATACTCTACAGAGATATTTTTATCTATACCTCAACTTTGGATGAATAATTCGGCATGAGGTGTTCAAGCAGAGTGTGGCTGAACTCCAACTGTTTCCCCTTTTTTTCGGATATAAGAAATAGAGCTCGAACGTCTCAATAAATATTTACGTTTGTAGTTTATAAGCAGATTCGTAAACTTTTCGGCGACCACTGTTTTTAACATTTATTATGTTAAAAACTGATATTAAATTTTCTTTGGAATCGCCATTTTTTCCAAGTCAAACATTAGCACATACAGATGATATACCGAAACAATTTTAGTAAAGGTTGTTCTCAAGAGTGGGATAAGTGTTGTTACGCCATTTAAAAAAGCGTTTGAATTATTAAGGATATTTTCAGACTTCAAAGACATTCATTAGTTCTTATGAAATCTATTGCGGCAGGCTGTTAGTACAAGCCATACGAAGCTGCTCACGATGTCGTATATTTAAACGTACTCAATTATATTATTGTCTCTACGATCTCGGCTTATTTAGAGTATTTAGAGCTGCACACGGTGAGTCGTTTTTTAATAGATTTTTGCATAAACCTTCCCCTACGTACACATCATGCTCAGAAATTTTTTTTCTATATAAGATATTTTCACGGATGGAAAATGACAGGAATCTGCAAAGCTTAAAAAATTGTTATTTTTTTTTTAAACTTGTGTTTACAAAAAAAAAACACATAATATTAAGCACTCTGCGTCAGCGACGAAAGTGCGACTGAGCCGAAGCAGTACACAACCGGTCAGGAATGGTCTGAACCTGAACACCCGATGACCGCCGAAAATGGACCAGAACTTTGAAGGACCCCCTCCAAAAAAAATACAGGCCTATTGGAGTCTGAACACCGTTTTTCTCATGGTAACCGCGTACGCTGCACTCTTCTTCAAGGTACACGGCAATATTCTAAATATGCGCCATAAAAAAATAAAGCTTAAAACTACTGCATATTTTTTTCAATAAATCAACTTTTTCACGTCAGACTTACAATGCGAAAAATATTTAAATAACCTTCGCGAACAGGCCTATCACTAAGTTATAATTTGCACGTCTTGTGTTAGCAATTTTCACCATTAAAAACAGTGCACGCGTAAATCAAGACTACTCCACGAAGAAAAAAAAAACATCTTTAAGAACGCTCTTAAATTAGCCTTACGTTTGTCTCGCAAAATTCGACCTTAAATGACTTCCCAGGGCTTTGAGAGGCACTTGGTTCTTTGGATTCAGCAGAAACTGAATGCAGGCTGAAAAGTTGAAAATGTTTGTTATCAGCATTATATTCTAGGGTGAGGCGCTTTAGTAAAAAAGAAGTTGGAGTGTTTAGAAAACCATTCGGTGTTATAATCTGGATCCAATGAACGTAAAAATACAACAGTACGTATCAGTTTGACAAATATTAATACGGCGTTTATACAATAGTATGTTCATCAGTACATGCACTTTATTTGTTTCAGAATTTAGAGATTGTTTTTTTAGCCGTCAGACCTGTAGTTATGCGGTCAGGTGAGTTATACGGCGAGAGGGACTTATTTTATAAAGGATTATTCGTCATGAAAAATTGTATAATCAACTAGAATTTGTGATTAAAACTGTTATTTTAGAACAATAAGCTTATGGTTTCAGGTTGCAACTTGCCGAGGGTTATCGAACATGAGTAATTCAGTAAATATGATTATAACGTGGAGCTCCTGCGAGGCGCGATTGTGCATTAGAGTTACCACTCGTGTAGCACATTCAAGGATGAACCCGCGAAAAAAAATTGTAGAGTCACTGTCGTATAATTAGGAAAAACGCATGTTTATTTTCAATAATCTTAAAGTTATTAAATCATTCTAATTCAGTATCTCATGTATCGTAATGATTACCTATATAGCAAAGAATAAGGGTAACGATTACCGATACGAATATTATTTCGGCTCCCTTAATCATTTTAGGTAAGGATCAGATAGAAGTCCTTACTACGGTTGTTGGCGTAATTGCATGTCATCGTCCACACTCTAAAAACAAAGTCCGTGCGTCTGCTTTCCCGCTCAACACTCGGAGAGCGAACCGCCGCAACTTACGGGAGGCGGCGCAGGTAATGACAATGCCGAAACATATGTTTAGAACAAAAAACGCAGTCTGAATTGTGGCACTAATTAATGCAAGCGTGACGTTTTACATTCCTTAATGTCACAACTCAAACTGCGTTTTTTTTGTCTCAACATATGTTTCGGCATCGTCATTCACTGAGCTGCCTTTCTAAGTTCATGTGATTGGCTCTCTAAGTGTGGTGTGGGAAAGTAGACGCATATGGTTTTTTTAGAGTGCATCGGACTGTACAATATTCCCTTTCACTATTTTTTCTTTTCTTTCACGGTTTATCTTGTGTTTACTATATCGCTCCCTTTGTCCGCTTTTTTTTTATTCTTGGAAGGGTTGGGTTGAAAAATATTCAGCTAGCAGATTCACTGTATTTGTGTTCCTACAAGTTGAAAGAAAGGTCCGTTCTGTCTTTGTTCTAATTTTTTTCATTATTTTGGACGTCTTTAACGGAAAACGTCTTCGTGACATTTTTATCTATGTTTTTTTGTTGTTGTTTTTTTTAACGGAAGTTCCCGCGCCTTCTAGAGTTCTGTTGTGGGTTTAGGAGTCAAAACGCGAAAATTGGTCGATGAGTACCTATGAGTCAATTGGGAATCCGAAAACTATTTTAAAATATTTAATATCTAATTGTAACGCCCGTCACTGCGAATCCCAAAAAGCTAGTAATAAAAGAGTTAATAAGATAATTCTTGTGAATTTGCGGTCCTATAGAAATGTCCATCATCTAGGATCTGCGGAGTCTAATAAAGCGTGCCGAAAACCTCGTCCGTTTGACTCGCACCACTTTTATAATTCGGCATGAAGTTGAGTTAAGGACCTTTATATCTGTTGTATCTTAAAGGGCCCATGAAACAAATCTTGGGTTGGGATAAATCATTTTAGATTGGAATTTTACTAATAGCACATTGTTCAGTGGGCCAAAAGAAAAAAAGGTAGAAAGTCAAAACCTGAATTTCAGTGCGAAAATTTTTGAAACACAGCGGACTATTTCGTACCTCCTCCACTTGGCAAGCTCTCTGCCTTTTCACTGTGATACATCCGTGGTCCCAAAAGCGCGTCACCGGGTCCAAACGCACGTCACACGAAACCGGACCTCACTTATTCCCTTCACCCCTAAGCAGACATTGCGGTGGAAGGTACGAGCTTGCCGGACCAATCAGCCGCCTCCCTTTCATCACCTGACCTCATTTTCTGCACGTGGGTATGCGCGAGAGAGCGTGATCACGTGGCAAATCTGGCTGGCCCAACGAGCACGTAGCTTCCACCGCACTGTCAGCTTCGAAGTGAACCGGTTGGGGAAAGCACCTTTTGTCTGAATTTTGAGCGACGGACTAATCTTCTAGGGGGAGAATTGATGCGTCCGGATTACACAAACAAAAGTCCGAGCAAGAGGGAACTCCCCCTTTCCGTCTTCTTGAACTGTTTGGTAGAATGCGCGATTTATGAGTTGAGGAGGAAAGTTAAACAGGAAAAAGTTGGAAAAGCGTTTCATGACCCCTTTAAGTGTCCCTCTTATCAACACAATTATTTATGTTAATGAGGGCAATAATCAACTTTCAAGATTTCAGATATTTAATGCCGCATCATAATGAATGGGTGAATATATGCTTTGAAATATTGATCTGCATGTGTGCTTCACAAATAAATATCGAATTAATTAATATAACCTTGCATTTTGAATAATATTTATCACTTATATTATGTCTTCCACACACACTGTTGCTATATAATACACTAAACAGGACCCAATAATGAACGATTTAACGTCGTCTATCTTAGGTGTCCAGGTCTACCAGAACCCGCAAAATCAACTAAGTAATACACATATTGAAATTCAGTCTAAAACCCATATACCAGAACGTAAAAGAAATGTTTAGTCATTGAAGTTCCCTAAAATGATGCAAAACGCAAATAGTTTTGTTCTACACAGTGTATGAACGGATTAAGCTTGGAAGTTATAATTGGTCTGAAGCTACTTAATTCGCTAGACACATGCTATCAATAAGTGTGATGAGTTCGTCGTTAGACAAATACCTGAGCGAGAAACAAAGGTCAGATGAAATTAAAGGGGACTCACTTGACAATAAATACAAGGGCGATAAAGCCGGCCAGTTGAAGACTGGTAAACACGTTAGCCGCCATCGTAGTACCTTTGACAGGAATTTCAGTGACTATACGAAGATGTGTTGTCAATTTATACCTCTGAAAGTTGAAACCCAGAGGTCGTTTCACTCTAAAACATTCTCAAATTTACATCATAGTTCGAATGCAAAATATAGAAAAGAGAAATACTTGCGAGTTTTAGGCAAACCCTTGGGGTGAACGTGCCAGTGTAAAGTTCAATAACTTTTGTCTTTGGGCACTCAAGGGGCATAGTCGAGTTCACATCTCAATTGTAAGAAATTTTGCAACAGCGAGCACTCATGTCCTGTGATCTTGCACCAGCTGCAGTTCAGCTTGTTGAAAGGCCCAACCCATAAAACATTTCGCAGCTATGCTTGTAAAATCAGACTTCATCCTTGCTCTCTCGAAACAATAAATATCGCGGAATGTGCATCATTATTTTCATTCGGTTCATTGATTCCTTGTTTTTCTTCTGGTGTTCAGAACATTACTATTCTTGTTAAGGAGAGTGTACATGTAAAACTAATTTTCCTTGTCCGTACGTTAGTATTTTTGGGGTACACATGTCGAAGCTTGTTTCCTGTTCTATTCTCACCGAATTACTAGCGAAGTATTTTTTTAATTTATACTTTCCAATGTAAAGCAGAAGCAAAAAAAAGTAAACGGTATGCAAGAAGTCTTGTAAACAAAACGCAGAAGTTTTTAATCAACGTCTGCGATTTATTAACAATCACCACTATTTCCTGAAAAAGAGCACGCACAGAGGCGCCATCTAAGAAAAAAAAACTTTAGCCTTTCCACTTTGGTGAAGAAGGAAGATCAGCGGAGCTGTAGCTTCTGTTATGACCGGTGGCTTTCCAGTTGAGCAATCTGCTCTTCTGTTGCAAGGGAATCTGAAGCGGACAGCCCAGTGAAACTTTAGGTGATAGCGGCTTGGCGGCGGTTGCGGAACCGTTCGCGCTGCTCCGCAGATCGCCCCTCGTTCCGCTTCTGCTCTCCTTCCTCCGAAGATAGGTTGCCGCCATCAGTGAGGGACGGCGGCAACCAGCTGTCTGGTTGCCGCCGTCGCTCATAGAAAGCGGTAGGTGTCCAGAGTTAGGTGTCATTATTTCTAATCCGGCGGACACGATCCTGAGGAAACTAGCCCTTAACAGCTCCACTGTAACAATATAAAGCTTGAAAACCCGCCGAATGATAATCATGCTCCTTTTTTCGTTAATAACACGACTTTCCTTTTTTCTTTAGCTCGGTCTTCTACCTCGCGAATATCTCATTGCCTGTTAAGAATTTCAAAGAAGAATTTCCTCAACTGTAGGGAATACTTTTTTTAGTGAAAATAGGCTTAAAAATACCAACTTCAAATCTATCTTAAATATACTAGGTTACGCGAAAATGCATGTTAAAAACGGCATATTGAATTCTTGACCAAATAGTAGAATCATTTTTAAAAGCCTGGCAACAATAATAGAAATTCACGTGGACTTGGCCGCCATTGCTTTTATCTAGACTTGGTAAATGGCTAGATATGTTAAATTTGTTTTTCGGAAAACTCGATTTAAATATTTTTTTATGGTAGAATGATGCAAATTATTGTTTTGTACTGTTAATACTCTTAACAAAAAACGAGACGACATATTTATTCGACGGATTCTACGAAAGGCGCTTCCAGTTGAAGACGGACACAAGAAAGGCGAAGTACCACCAAAGAATGATACATCAACGATTAAAAGGACTGTAGGTAAGAGTGACACGGAACAAACCCCAATTAGTTGGTTGTCTCAATTTAGTTGGGCAAAGTGGGACACCACTTTGCCCAACTAAAACTGAACACGTAGAGAAGTGTATTGTAAAAGCTTGGTCTGCTGGGCAAGTTGGTAGTGGACATTCATATTAAAAATAGCGCAAAAGAGACGGGACAAAAAGACGAAGAAGCACACAGGACAAACGCTAGCGTTTGTCCTGTGTGCTTCTTCGTCTTTTTGTCCCGTCTCTTTTGCGCTATTTTTAATATGAACGTAGAGAAGGTTCATCCAGGCTCACATAACGCAGAAATGCCAATTGAAAGAAAGAAAAGCACGAAAGCATAAGCAACATATGATTTTCAAAAGGACTAGAGGAAAATTTATTTTAAGGTCGGAACTGATCATGAAAGTAGGGCTTGTGCTCCGAGTTAAACTGGGATAGTGAGGTTTGTTATCAGTGTAACTACCGCAAACCCCAAAAAATTAACTAACTGGAATTCGGAAGAAAAAGAAAAACGGAGGAGTGGAACAATATGAGCCCATTGATATGCTTAGAAAATAACTCTTTCGCATTTTCTGTCAGGGAAACAACCGTCTTCTGCTTCGGTTGCAGCTACTAAGGTACTTAAAACATATACTAGGAAAAAGAGTCAGGTGTCAACTAGCTGAAACATGTTTTCGAAAAAAATGACTGAGTGAGTGCTTGCTAGAACTGTGATCATTGCGTGAGACACACTGGCACCGAACCGTCAGACTAAGGAGGAGAACCAGGCTTACGAGCGAGAGGACTGCATTCATAGTCCAATCATCCAGGATCACTTTGTAACAAGTCCAGCCGATGCCCTTCTGATGGACGTCATATCGCCCTGTACACCAGTGCTGCCAAAGGCGAAACTTCCATTTTTGCCCAGACAGTTGGATTTAGTTACAAATACAGTTCATTTAACACTAAGTCCAAACACGCAATTGTCCCCCAACTTAATAGAAAAACAAGACAAAATAAAAAAACACGATCGCCGTGATGATAAACATTCGGTGCTACTTAATGGACTTTAATGGACATAGAGAGAGGTCAGACCTGATGTGAGACCAACCATAAACGGCTGCACACATTTATATACGGTTAGTTTTATTTTCAAATGCACCCTGAAATATGAATATTAGTTAAGGCTTAACCTAATGCTTTCTTGCAATGTTATGTGATGTGGATTATTCTGCTGGCTATATTTTTATGTTGTCTTGGAGCAGCCAATGGCCTGATCTGCAAAGTTGATATGATGGTATATATATATATATATATATATATAATATTTTACATGCGTTTAACTGAAGTTTTTTTTTTTTGACTTTTGCAGCTATCAATTTCCCACCAAATAGGAAATTGTCTTTAATTTTATAACACTGCTAGAGACGACCCCAGGAACCAGCTTTCCGATACAGCAATGATGTAGACTCATGAGTCCGTTTGCATTTATGTTCCTGGAAACGCTGGGCGCGACCGATGTGCATGCTGTATAAAAACGAGGCTAGAAACGCCTAACCATTTTGATATTAATTTGAGGTATTTCTGCAATCTCAAAGTGAGTTTGCTTGCAGAACCGCTACGCGACTTGATATAAACCGGTGCTGTAACCAATTCTCTAACGTGCTGAGATTCCAACTCTACCAAAAAGTATCAGAGCCGGTGCATTTTGATGTCTTCACAGGGAGATGCAACGGAGACACAGTTTGCACACGAATGCTTCGATAGTTTTTGGTTGGGAATTTTGTCTAGCGAGCCTTTCGAAGGACGGTCGATGTCGGGCTTGAATCCAATTTCAGAGCCATCGTCATTCGACTGTTATGCCCTTTTATGAATAAGAAAAAAACGACCGTGGACCTTGATTATTCTGGGTAGTGTTGTCCTCCGCCGTTACCTTGGTTAAAAAAAGAAGCATCGTGGCTGATTTTGAAATTTCACGTAGCCGTATAAGCAAACTGCTCACCGGTTTCATCTAACCGCTGTCCTCTTTTAGCGTAGCGGTAGTGATACCTGCTATCCGTCTTTGAAATAAAACAACTCTTACAAAAACTGGGCACATCAGCGAGCGTGAAAGACCCGCCGAGTGTCCCGGCAGAAGACACTCAGGTACACGTCGCCAACAAAACTACGTCAGTACTCTGAGGGCTGGCCAGCGGTTTCCTTTGACGCACAATTAACACGAAAGCAATTTCTGGAACACGAGTCGTAGATGCAAAAAAAATGAAAGACGTTTACAACTCACTGTAATGCCGAATTAAAGCGCAGCTCTTGAAAAGCAGGAGGGGACCATATGCCTTTCCTCCTCCTCATCCGTATCCTCTCCTCCTCCCTCCTCATATTCTCCTCCCCTGCTCCTCCTACCTCCTCCTCCCTCTTCCTCCTTTCTCTTTCTCCTCCTCCCTTCCTGCTCCTCATCCTCTCTCATCCTCCACATTTTCCTCCTCCTCTATCCTCCTCCCTCCTCCTCCTAAAACCTCCTCCTGCTCCTCCCCCTTCCCGTTTCTCCCTTTCCTCCTCCTCCTCCCTCCCACGAGGTTCAATATGGGAAATGTCCCATAATCCAACGCGCACCTCACCGCGGTGCATTAGGAGACGTTTCCCATAATGCACCGCGCGGTTACGCCGACGGCGACGGCGACGCCGACGCCGCTCAAGCTGGAAACGGGCGCCTAAGAGCTGCGCTCTACGAGGTAGATTTTACGAAGTCATAAAGTGAGCTCAATTTTAGGTCTGGAAACCAACACTATGCCACTGCAAGTGGTGAAAAGTACACCCAAAAACTTTCCGACAATATGTTTTACAAGCCGAAGTCCAAGAATAAAGAGCAAATGTAAGATTGAAACTATTAGACGTCAAATATTATCCAGCTTTTCCCAAGCTAAGAATATAATTGTATCATTGCATCATAAGTATATTGCTCTTTTATTGTTGTATTTAATTTGGTTCTGCTTTCTGCTTTTATTTCCCAGAAAGATATTTCCCTAACTTTGTGTCTGGTGAAGGCGGCAGACAGACCAGTCTCATTGTGGATGGACATTGAGCGAATTTTAAAGGCGTCCTCGCTGATTTCAAGAGCGGCATGCGTTTTTTGCTGCATTTTTTTATGTTGATTAGCCAAATAAGGCGGATAAGAAGCTTACATTTATTGAGCATGACTTTTTGGGACTGTGCCGCCCGAAGCCGTGTTTAAAGCTGTGTGGACGGTACCGAGTTTCAAGGAACGGCGTTACAAGTAACGCGTAACCATTTCCAGT